GTAAATGGATTACATTTGCACTTAAGATTCAAGCATGTTACTTCTTGATTTTATTTATTCTGCTTTTATATTACATTCACTGAGCACTCACGGTGGTTTAATACCATATAATAAAAAAGCCACATAACCATAAAATAAAAGTAGCGTATGATTAAAAATGTGCATTGGACATAATCAACAACAGTTATTTTAATTGTTAAAATCTTTTTTGAACGGTTCTGTTTTCACAGTCCCAGGTTATTTGGAGATAGGTTGCTGTATGGCTTTCTATGGAGAGGTTGTTCCAAAGGGTTGGAGCCATAACTGAGAAGCATTTTGCTTCAGTCTTTCAAAATTTCCTGCAAAAGGAGCTCTTGATATTCTACACAGGATGTCCAGAATAGGTGGACAGGTACTACTTAAAAGAAATAATCCTGCAGATATCTGGGCACTAAGCCATATAAGACTTTATCGATTGAAAGCCAATACAGGTAGTTCTTGACTTTCAACAGTTCATTTTTGAATAAAGTTACAACGATGCTGAAAAAGGTGATGTACAACCATTTCAGCACCCCCATAGTCACGTGATCAAAATTCAGATGCTGGGCAACTGGTTCATATTTATAAAAGTTGTAGCTCGCTTAGCAACAGACATTTTGGGCTCAATTTTGGTGGTAAGACAAGGAGTACTTGTTCTTTGAATTCTATTGTGATAAAAGTGCACCAATGCATTAACATTGCATTGAAATAGGAGCTCTCACAGAGCTGACTGCTACATTTTGCATCTTCTTCCAAATAACACTATAAAGTCAGTCATGAGACATTGCAGTATGATCAGAAGTAGCCAGGCATCTCCTCCAGGAATGGATGCAGCAGATAATGCCAATATGGCTTCCTATCTGGCAATAGGCATGCGTTTAGGAGGCCTGCCAAGATCTGGACTTGCTCCATCAGGAAGTCTTCAGTTTATGGATTATCATCTTGTTCCTGTTGCAAGTTCAAGATAGTAGAAACACCAAGGAAGATGCATGTACATAAATTCCATTTAAAAGTGTTTTATTATAAAAATAAGTTTTTTAGTTAAAAAGAAACATTACTTAACACTTTTTAGTTTCACAGCTATCCTCTCTTATCTCTCTAACCCATGGTATTTTTACATAAAGCCTAAAATGTTTGATCTATTTAAGGGAAATCAGGAGCTTGAAAAGGTTATTCCAAATGTTTGGGTTGACATTCCCATCCTAAGAGAGTTTTCGTACTTCAGTAACTGTCAACAAAGCTACTATTAATAGAGCAAGCCAAAATTAGATATTACAGGGCTACAGAGAAAAGTTCTGCTGAAAAAAAAATCTATTTTAAGAATAGAACTGGATGTAGAGAATTACTGCTTCTTTACCGTGGTTATTGCTACACAAGGATTGAAATAGTCTTGTCTGCTTTAGTTATTATTTGCATCCCATTTCATGTCTGAGTTCAGACCACCTACTACCTATTGGTAGTTCCTGGTGTTCCACCCCATTATATATTTTTTCAAGCATTCCTGCTAAGCAGAAGGGTACATGGCTATAAGCTAATTATGCCTGCTCCAAACTCATTTCCATATGATGCAAATTAACAGAATCCATATGATACAGATTGAGCTTTATCATGTGTAACAAACACGTCAGCTAAAAACTCGCCTACAGCTCTTGAGGGCCCATCAGATTATATCAATGTCCAGTAATAAATCGTTATAATAGATTTTTTCTTATTGTCAGGCTGGGAGGCTGGGGGGAGAAAACTGTTTATCTAAATGAACTAAATAAAATAAAGTGGTCTGACTGTCACAGTGGGGTCAACTTCCCATTACTTCACTGTAAAATTTCTGCCCAGTCAATACCAATATAAGAGTGTGGCACAAAGCATACATTGGTTTACAGTCTTGTTTGTTGTCATGCCAACCTTGAATTCCTGAGTTATTCTGATTAAAGTTATCATAACATGAAAGTTGCTATGAAAAATTGTTAGCCTGGGAATCTTCAGCACGTCCAACAGGTTGCCAAAATTTTGGAATCCCATCTGAGTTGAATAACAAAATGAGAGAAAGTTTTGCATCCTGTGGTTCTCACTAATATCAATTTCTGTCTGATTTTACACATGTAATGAAGTGTTTTAAATGCATGTATTGGGTTGGAAAACCCCATTTTAATTTTAACGGGTTTAGAGCCTTTATCTACTTTTCTTACTAAAATTGTCGTTCAGACCTTTGCCTTCTGTTAGCTAATTGAATGATAACTGTATTTTAGTTTAACGAATAGGTTAATTGTATTTCTGGTTAAAAAGTTAGTTGTGCTTAATTATAAATGATGAACAATTATTTCCATTAATTCTTAATAACCTCTCATGTCTGAGCACATTTGATGCACATTCCATTTATTATTCCCTGGTTTCATGGCCCTTTTCCAATTTCCCAGCAGAGAGATGAGGAAGAAGACAGCGCTGCATTTTCAGAACTCCATTAGTACCTCAGCGATGATTCATCCTCACAGTCAGCTGAGGTGGAAAAAATGCTAATATATTCTCATGTGTTTAATATTACGTATTACATTGTGTTAATTTTTCTTCTTCAGATCTCATTAATGGAGCCCAGGAACAGTGTGAATTGCCTCCTATGGATGGTTTTCCTCACTGTGAGGGCAAAATAAAAGTAAGCTTCATCTATTACACCATTTATTTGTCTGTATGTATTTATTCTGCAACAGAAAATGTTCTAATGCTCCCATTTTATCTGACAATTTGTTAATTGATCAAAAGACCAGGGATAAAAAAAAACCATAATGTTCTCTTAGCATGTGACATACTACTATGTGAGTATGATAACTGAAGCAAAGTGTCTAATAATTCTTAAGGGGTCAAGTAATTGATAAGGTATTGATCCAGATGCCAAAAATAATATATAAACTACTTTTTTATGAAGAAATTGAGTAGTAAAATGTTTCAGATTGCAGTTATATTTGAAGGACAAAAAGAGCTCTTCTGTGAGGAGATGGGCATCTAAGAATTTTGATATAAATATATAAATAAAATATTAGAAGTTTTCAGTATCTTTTACTGAGATAAACCTATTTGGATGAACTCAATATAAACAATGTAAACTTCCTGCCACTGATGTGTGTCATGCTCACAGTGGTGAACTTTATATTTATGGGAAAGTTTCTTTGACCAGCATTTCCCTATAAATGATAGCAGTTATCTTTCCCTGATAACTGAAGTTTGCCTTGACCTTGTTGATTTAAAATGCTATTACAGCAGCTTCCTGAGAATTAATTAATTGTGTACTTAATATTGCAGTCTAGGTTCATAAGAACCCAAACCTGTTGACTGAAGGCATATTTATTATTATTATTGCTTTCCTTTCTAGTGGATGAAAGATATGTGGAGATCTGATCCTTGTTATGCAAGTTACGGTGTTGATGGGTCCACATGCTCATTCTTTATTTACCTCAGTGAGGTCAGTAAATTTTCATTTCAACTAATACATTAAGGTTTAGTGAAGTTTTATCCAAATGCATCTGATAAACAGGTTGTAGTGTGTAAAAACTTGGGCTATAAAAATTTGCCAGAGTTTGTATTGCTTATGCTGCAAGAGATTACTATAGATATTCCTATGAAAAATGACTCTAAGCTTATTAATCTAATAGCGTGGAAATATTAAAAGTTTTCATTTTGCCATGCAAATTTCTTTCTCTGAGGAAAATGGCATCTTCTTTTCCTCTTTTCAACTAATTATAGTTTGTCAATATTTGCACCCCTGTAAACTGTGTTGACTGCCAAATAGAGCTCTGCCATTCTCTGAGGAAATGCTTTGCTTTAATGAAAACTGGCCTTGGGTTATTTTGCATGTGGTTTTAGAGCATCATAAGTCAGCCACTCTCCTTTGCCTGCTAAAATTGTCTTAACCAATCAAAAGCGCCAAGTGGAATAACAGTAATTCTTGACTTATAACCAATCACTTAGTGACCACTCAGTTACAACAGACCTCCCCGGAGATATTTAGAACCTGGTTCCAAAGTTCCAATCAGCGGACAGAGGAACAATCATATGACTGCATTTTGGGCACTCAGCAACCAGCTGCCAAACCCAAGGACCCAAGAACAACACAAGGAATTACTTCATTGTAGTTTCTTTACCAATGGNCTTCTATTCCCTGGCATTTTTTGGACTTGGTTTGGTCTAGGATGGTCACATTTTCCCAACCATTTTAAGCTATGGTTAAATCTATGTGTTGCATTTATCTTTACCATCTTGGATATTGATATAGTATATGAAAATGAATCCTGGGCTAAATATTTTCTAATTTAAAATGAAGACATTCAATCAATCAGAAAAGCGCTGGAAGGAACCTTGGAGCTCTTCTATTCCAACTGCCTGCTCAAGCGGAGACCCTATGCCATTTCAGACATAATGAAACATTAAAAGGAAATACCTCATATCTATATTTCATGACAACAAAATGTTCTAAAATATTAATTTAAATAATAGTTTTAAGGTAAAGGATATGCTTGCTTGCTTCAGTTTATTTTTGGATGGCCAACCTTAACCCTTTAGAGTTATACAAAAATTGTAAGCTTTTTATAAGCAAACTATGAGCAATTCCTATCTTCAGGTTTGGAATTAAGCCAATGTAAAGATTTTTTTTTAAAAAAAATCATTTACCTGTCAATGTAGTCTATTAGTTCTTGGGCTTAAATTCAGAACATATGTTTTATAAGCATTTGCTTCTGAGAGACTTTTGGAAGTCAAATATTTATCTTTGGTTTAAAGGCATAACAATGCCTCTAAGTAAAGATTTATACTGCTTGTTTGAAGTTGAATTTCCAACTAAAATATTACAGCCATTTTTATTGTACATTCTGAAATACAAACATTTGCTTTCTTTTTTGATGTTGTTCAATAGTCTTTATCTATCCTATATTAAGTGGCAGATGCTCCTTTTAGGCAGTAGTTGTTCAAAACTTCTCAAGCCAAAAGATGAAACTATATTATGAAATGCCTTCCAATGTAATGTGAACCTGGCAGCTGTGTGGTATTGCTTAAAAAAGTAATAAGGGCGTAATGAATGAGTAACATTTTCTGTTTTGCATTGTATTCCCTCAGGGCTATCTGTTCTGAGCTACATCCTGACAGCTGTTACAGCTGTATGATTATTTAATTTATATCCTGCCTTTCATGTAATATATAAATGTGGTGGGGAAATATGTTTTATTCTCTCAGCAACTTTGTAGGTTGGTGTAAGAGATAGGACATATTGTAGTGACTCATGAGTTTCATGATTGGGTGGGCACTTGGGAGTGGCTATCCCTTGTTACAATCCAACATCTGAACCACTATGTCACATTGGCCACTGTCTTTATTTGCTTTTCCTTTCCAACATATGTGACACGGGGTAAGATAACTCCTTCCTTGCATATTCTTTTTTTTCTCCACTCTTCTTATCCCTCCTGTTATCTGTAATGGAATCAGGCCAGAATGACAGTATTAAGATCAATCATATTCCCATACTTCATGTGCATTCATTGAATACTGGGTAAGGTAAAAAGTACCCCTGTCCAATTGGGTCCAACTTTGGAACGCTGTGCTTATCTCTGTTTCTTGGCCAATGGAGTCAGCATTGTTCAGTGACATTTTCCATGGTTATGTGGCCAGCATGAATGGTACCAAAAGTGCGTGGAACTCTGTTAAGTGGTACCTATTTATCTTCTTGCATTTGCATGCTTTTGAAGTGCTAGGTGAGAAGGAGCTGAGGCAAGTAATGGGAGCTCACCCCATTGCACAGCACTCGGGTCTCGAACCCCAGCTGTCAGTTTTCCAGCTGACAACCTCAGGGTCTTTAACCACTGAGCCAACACGCCGCCTGGGCTGGGACCAAATCATAAATCCAATGAATAAGAAGCTCTGCTTGTGGCAGGTTTATTTTCTGCAGTGTGTGATATAATGGAACAGGCTAAAGAATACTAATTTAAAAAATTCAGGGAAGGAAAAAAGACATGGAACTTTGAATCCCAGAGTAACTTTAATGGGAATTTATGTTTTGTGATGTGGAAGCAAACTGAGACAGTAAACAGAAAAGTATCCTATTTATTTTTTCTGCTTTGGCAGGGCTTAGCCACACCCCTACTACAGCAGCAGAAAGGAGTAGAGTTGTCCATTATATTTCTAGGAGTTTTTGAAGATTTGCAATACACAGTCAGGAATTGACATTTGTGATTTCTCTCTTCCTGGTGTTCTTTTTTGGGGGGTTATTTTCTTGAAAGTTTATAAATGGTATAAGTCAATTCAAGGAGAATCTTGATAATTTATCAATTAGTGGTAGAAGTGAATGGACAGAGAGGCAGCATAGGAAATGGGAAAAAGGAAAATCTATTGTTCCTCCCAGCTTGTGGCAGAAAACCAGTTTGGAAGAAAAAGGAGGAAACTCTAAAAGGAGTAATTGTTTTTAAAATGATGAATGAAAATAATGTTAATTGTATTACAGGATATTGATTTTAGAGTTTTAGACCCACCAAGTGGCAGCCTGGGCCATTAAGGCGTCTTCCTCTGCCTCGTTCTTTAACAGGGCTTCCATTATTTGGCTATATGAGCTGCAGTCCAAGCTCCCGGCAGGGGACACTCTCCTCCGCCAGGACGTGATAAAAATCATCGCAGCAGCCCAATACTTTGCATTTAATGCAGCGAAGTTTGCCTCCAGGACATTGGCCTCCAACGTCACTTCTAGGTGCTTCGTGTGGCTTCACCACTGGCAGATTGACCAGAAGACCAAGTGGAAGCTTGCTTCTGCCCCCTTCAAGGAAACTAAATTGTTTGGGGAGGTTTTAGACCCCTTCCTGATTGAATNCAACTGCAATGATTTATTTAACAACTCTGGCAAGAAAGGTCATAGAACATGGAGCAAAAATTACTTATGCTTGCGACAAACATTTTGGTTCAATTGTGGTTGTAAGTTGAGGATTATCTGTATTTGCTATAGAATGTCATAAATAGTGCCCATGTTAATGTGATTTTGGGGCCATGCCAGGCATTCTTATCTAGGTATTTTTGTAATTTTTACAGATATATTTTCTTTTAAATAGACAACCAATAAAGGATAATCATTTTATGTTTTATAATATGTGGTGTTTTATTGTTTGGTTTTTTTTATTTTAATAGGTTGATAGTCCACATTGAGAAATTTGGTTATTGGCACATTAGCAGTTGTAATAGTAAACAGATAATAACAACAATGGCCAAAAAATTAGCTAGTGTTAGAAACCATTACTTGTTTGACATGTAGCCTACTTTGCCATATGCTCTGATAGAATAAAACTAATTAGAGATTGGAAAGAAAGGACCAATTAAATTGTCATCAATTATGTTGCATTTGTTCCTTTGTATTTTTTATTGGATGGTAGCTATCCTATCGGATAGATTAAGTTCATAAAAAATGCTAGAAACCAATTCAATGCTATGTATGGATACGATTCTTTTCCAAATTAATTTTTATTAAAGACGTCTTTAACAGAATAAATACAAATGTAAAGAAAAAGAAAAGTTATAAGTAAATAAGAAATATATAAAGACAAAAAGAAAGAGGAAAAGGAAAAAGATATAAAGAAGTGGCTCCCTTATGTGTTTTATTGTGAATATTTCAGTGTCTTTCTATCTTTGTGCATATAATAATCTTGCTGCAGTTACAATTTTCCATAACTTACAGTTGTCTGTTTATTAATCCCAGTAATAAAAGTTCTTGTTTCAGACTAATATTAATCTTTAAAATTCTTTGTATTGCTGTATATATTTAAACCCAGAATTTTCAAGCTTTTTTACAAATGCACCAAGCATGATAAAATGACCCATCATGTTTTTCACATTGCCATGTACAGATATGGTTCTAATGACTAATAATACCTGCATTAATTTCACAGGTCCATTATAAAGCCCATATTAAGCATTACTTTATCTGTTCAGTAGCTATCTTCTGGTAATATGCTATTGATCTGCTTGGCTTATTTGGAATTTTAAAAATATTTAGATACCCTTCAAAGATACAGTTTTTGCAGGAAGAAAGTACATATTTATTTGTACTACATTATTTTAATAGATGAATGAATGTTTTAGTAGTATATTCTTATCCATTCATTAGGAAGTATAGGCCAAACCTTGCCATTTCATACTTCAGCTTTGTAAAATTCATGTTATTTTCAGTAAGGCTTAGATATATGTATGTATGTGGGACATTTAATCCCATTGGGGCATAATTTTTTATAACCCCCTTTCTTGTAGAATTCAGTTTTTTTCTTTTAGCAAAGCTTTGTGCTTTACTGCTAGTGTGGTTATGAATGAGAACTAATAATTTTGAAAGGCTGCCTATTTTTATTTCTTTCTGAAATCTACAGTACTAGCTAGACTATTGGATGACTGATGTTCTGGCTAAAAGTCATCTCTTGAATTACAAAGAGCTCATACATTTCCATA